AGGCAGAGATATTATGCTTCAGTACACCCAAATATCTGCAAGGGAAGGGAACCATATCAAGAATGCTATATATGAAGTCTGAGAGAAGCTGTGCAGCGGAAAGGCGACCTCCAGTGTGACACCAGAACGCGGTTGTCACACACGTCACACAGCCAGACGCGCTGATTTCAGGCGCGTTGTGACTCAAATGCGCCACGCGCATGCAGCTTCCTAGAGTCATTTTTGGCTCTTGCGACATTAGTACCAAATGTTCTGAAGACATATCTGGATGTATCGGAAAACTCGGATTCTTCGAAAATGCATCGTATCTTCAAACACTAGTCAAACAGATATCTTTTTCACCCTATATGGAGGGAAAGAGGCAAAGTACCGGAAATCCAACATTTCCGATACATTTTAATCACCCTTCTGAGCATTTCTCTCAGCTATATCTTAGCCTGATTCTCGCAGTGTGAAGTGATCTACGTGTTCTCATTTCCGTGACACTCACTATTAGGGAACAAACAAAGCCAAATAACTCGCCGCGCGACCCAGGATTGCGTCTCCCCAAATTGACCCATTGACACTCATCAATTCATCAAAGGGTCGGGGTTTGACCGTCCCATCACTGCATAGGTCAGGAAGTTGTTTCGAAAGCTGGTCCGTGATTGGTCGACAGTGTGGTAGGTGGCACTGCGACGAAGTGCACCTGAGGCGTTCTTGCGAGTCGTATTCTTCTCAAAGCCAAAGCAGGCATGCGCACATCTGCAAAAAAGTCCAATCCTACATCAGCCTCTGTAGGTATGATTGGAGGGGTTGGCTCATAGCATACCCCCGGATACATGGGTTGCTGTAGATAGGCCCAATTTTACATTGGTCACTGTTGGCAGGTAGGCCTGTAGGACTGTAGGCCATGTAGGCTATGTAGATCTCTGTAGGAGGAAATAGGTAAATGGAGAGCAGCTTCTCGTAGCATTTATGATGATGGTAAAACATAAAACACTCAATATTATACATGTGTTGAATGCTTTCAGTCAGGATGAGAAACAGGTAATATATATTAAATTGATCATAAAAAATCTCTATTATACAAGTAGGGCATACTGTCTTCGGACCCGGAAATGAATTTACCGTCTACTCGAGAATGCCCCATACCTGCCTATCACAACTGTTATATTAGCAAAGCCACGGGCGAAGATAATCAATGTGTCTGAGCACCAACACTTACCTGAAATTGCCCTTCTCCGACGTGCCACACCAGCAAAGCATAAATGATCCCTGCAACCCAGACAAACTTACCTTGACTGAGCGCTATTGCATGACATCTCGAGCGCTGCTCGACGCCGTGCTTATGCGTCAAAACGTGCCCCTTATATACTTGGACGCGGGTCAGGAATATTCCAGACTAATGACGTCATTGGTCGAGCGCAGTCGTAATGACTCTGGTAACCCGTATGCGTCAAGTTCCTCCGCATAGACAACTTCAAGCTGCTTTGTCTGCCCTGTACACTGTACTATTGCGACTATGCCCTTTCGGACTCTCGTTTTGACTTTCTGCGTCCTGTTTCCTGATACATTGAGCCGGGCAACATGTACAACTGCCAGCTTGAAGTTGACGTGCGTGCTGATGTCTAAAGGATGCTCAAGTTCCTGTCGTACATGCTACAGTAGTTTACTGAAGAGAAGAGAGGGTCAAGAGCCGCTGTAAAGGATTACATGCCATGGTATGTCTACTATCTACGCAGGGTGTTCTGTTTAGATCACGACCCCGCACCTCGGCACACTCGTCACGCCTACGCGCACCCCTATCGTCTGCTCCTGCCGCCCATCACTGTCACGGCTGTCCTCTGCTACCTCGGCCTGATGAAATACCACTAGCGTCATGCCCACTCCGCAGCTCGTGTTCGCGCACAGGCGCGCCGGCCCATACTGATCGGTCGGTACGTGTGTGCATTGGAGAGCCTGTTGTGTCGGGTTTGAAAGTACATCAGGTTTCGCATTTAGAGATCTGCTATAGCACCAGACGAGAGTGATCAGGGACCCTCGCTAGACAACTGTCTGACTGCATTGACTCGACTGCAGCATTGTTTATTCTGTTTGGATAGCAGAGGTATATGTACTGTCTGTAGCTAGGGTATCGACAATATAGCTTATAGTGCGGCTTCAGAAGTACAGCACCAATCTAGACCTATAGAGTACACTGGACTACTTACGGAGCCTACTATATCTACAGTAATGCACAAGATACCTACAGGGACTATGTCAGCCAATGTAAGTGGTTACCATCTATGTCAAAATAACTTTTTGCTGATGCAGGATGGGTTTGCAGCGGCGACTCGGACCTTGAAACCAGCACCCTTCGACTTACAAATCCTACATATTCAAGATGAGTAGTAATACACAGTACAGCAGGTATAGTACAAGTACACGTGGGTAGTACTTCAAGACAGAGGGATTTTATTCGTACAGTTTACGGTAGAATGAGTAGAATCTGAGACAAAGCACACTGCGCTTTGGCAAGTCAGCGACACATAGGGACCAAGTAAATAGAGGCACACCGATGGTAGTCCACAAGATCGATTACTTAAACATATCCAGCCGTGCTGTGCCTCCTATGTCTTCTGTGATGCCTCCAGCCGCTCCCAGCCACGATGTTGACGGTTGACCCAGGCTGAACTTGATATGTCCTTCCACGGCCAGGGTATTCATAGGCAGATCCTGCTCCAACCTGCTGACCCGGATACATCATACCGCCCGCCTGACCTGGAATAACACCCGGCTGGCCCATGTACCCCCCTTGCATCGTACTGGGTGCACCATTTGGGTTTCCGGCATATCCGGACCCCATCCCACCATAGGCACCTCCAGCATTGGGATACATGCCTGCACCACCAACAAACCCAGGTTGAGCTTGAGACATTTATATTGATCCAGCATATCCTCCCCCAACCATTGGCTGGCTCATTTGCACGGGGTTCATCCCGCCCGTAGCGAATCCACCCATACCCCCTCCCGCTAGCCCGCCCATACCTGGTCCCATGCCCGGGTTCGCCATGGTGCCCCCGACGGCCATACCGTTTGCCAGCTCGTTGAGGGCAGCATCACCCATGCCCACGGAGCCCATTGGACTTGCCCTCCCGCTCATCATCGCACTCGCCCGTCCGCCTTTCATCGCGCTCCGAAGTCCATCCATCGGAGTCCCTGGTGTTGCCCCGGCTCTTGACATCACAGGCGACCCTGGTGCGCTTGAGGCTTGTTGGCGTAGCGCCGGTGTAGGTGTACTGGTCGTCGTAAATGTAGGGAGATTGGGCGCCGCCGCCGCGGAATCCGCCTCCCATTCTGGCCATTGGGCCCATTCGCCCTGGACCCACTCCGCCCATAGGGCCCATGCCACCCATCCCGTATCGGCCCCCACCCATTCCTCCACTTCTCATGCTGCCCATCTGATTCATGCCCATACCACCTGGTCCCATACCGGACTGCATTCCACCCATTCCCATGCCCATTCTGGGGCCCATACCCATTCCTCCCATTCCGTCCATGTCCATATTGCCCGTGTTTCCCATATTTCCGCCCATGCCTTCCATTGGATTTGGATTTGGGTTTCCTTCTGCAGGTCCATCGCCTTGTTGATCTGCAACAGCCATCTCCGTCTATAGTTAAAGGGACCCATTTTGAGAACATGTCAGCAATGACATAGAGTCAGGTGAGCTCACTTGACTGAAGATGAGAGACGCTGTGGAGGCCGCGGCGTCGGCAGCTACTTGGCAGCCTATCCTGTCCACCATACAGCCCGAGTATTGACATAGACATGTGGCTGCAAATGCCGAGCTCCATCAGCAACTCAGAGGCAATCCTAAATTATAGCAGACATACCCTCCTCTATAGCCAGTGCCATCAAACATTCCCACTGTCTTTCGATATCTCCTCCTAGAGGGGCACAGATAGAACCATGGTGTCTCCAGATTCGAAACACTTTGTATGCTGCGGCATGTCCGATCTCAGATGGCGGTGCTGTGGTTACATCCACCTATTGAATTGAGTGAGCTCGTCGAGGGCCCTGAGAGGAAGAGGTAACATACTAGACCGCCATAGACCATACGATGGAATCTCCTGGCTTCTTATATCCCAATGCCTGCAGCACCTTCGTAGTTTCATACTCTGTCAAGAGCTGCCTCGTATATGGCACTGGAAAGCGGTAAGCTACTGGCTCCCTTCCGGAGAAAGGTATGGACACTCACCGATCAGGATTGAGTGAATGTGCGCGGAAGTAATCCCATTCTTCCCCTACGAAACTCCTCCTTCAGTACTATAGAGCTTCAAATGAGCATCGTAAACTTACAATGCGGCTGCGGTTGGAATTGAGGTGTGGGTGGTGGACCAAAGCGATACTAATGGACAGAATGATGCCTGTAGTTCTTGAATCTACTGACGCGACATAGTCAGACTTACCTGTGCTGTTCCCCTGCCGTCACCCGCGTTCTGATAAAATGGGAAAGACATGGCCGTAGTGATCAAAAGTTTAGGGGTATAGTGGATAGAAACTATGCTTGGACTTACTTCAGAGTGCTGTCCTTATGATGTGTCTATTTACATGGCAGACCATGACCATACCCACTCCAACGAGACGTCAATCATCAAGCTCACAGGTCGTGTCTGCTATCTAATCTTGCTCTTTATGAACGCTTGGTCTGAAGTGCGTCATGAGCAAGTGACACCCGCGTCTCATTACCCCTTCGATGCGTCAAGTGCATGCCAAAGCCTCGTCTGCGAGATTCCAGAACGTTAGCACATATTTACCGCCAAAGTAGCAAGCACATCAGAATGAACTCTTAAATCCATGCATAGGTAAGAAAGGTCATCAATGTTCTCACTACCAGTGCACAACTCATATTAATCATTAACTACCTCGGACCCGGCACTCCTTTTCCTAACTGCTTAAGCATTGCAGAGATTGATGTTGCTGGATCCACCGCTTGGGCAGACAGTGATGGTCACTAATACATGTCCAATGTCAGCATATTCGGCCGGTTATTGCTACGGGATACTCACGGTCAGTGTTATCACCGCAGCCAGCATCCAGAGAGTCGCCGTAGCTGCATCAAAATGTGAATGCCATGTAGAACACGGAGACAAATCCTACGCACTTTGTGCCACCCTGTATAAACACAGGGTAAGAGACCTGTCAAATCGTACATGTAGAACGGCCTATGTAGTTATGGTTGTAAGTCGGGTTGAAGTCGAAGGGGCAATTGTTTGTCCCCAAACACCCATCTGCAGAGGTGCAGCATGGGCGTAGCAGGACCCATCTGGTCCAGGTACGGGGCATCCACTGCTAATCACGCACTGCATAGCAGGGCAGTTTCCATCCCCAGTCTTGACTGATGCTCATGTCAAACACAGCAGCCCTCGGGTGTAAGACGATGGTACGTTGATATGCACTGACACACAACAATCACCAAGGACCAAAAGGAATAAACCTAAACCCCGTGATGTGGGTGAAGGCGGTCCGAGACAACTGAAGGGTATTTAATAGTTCGAGGGGGAAAGGAGGAGTAAGACGCCGTAGGGTAGTCCGTAGGAAGACCTAGAAAAATAAAACAAAAACCTTGACGCCTGAAACAAACACTAATGGACGCTCCGGAGTATTTATCTCCGGAAAGTCGCAAACAAAGTCGCAAACCACGGAACCAAGTGTAGGTTCGGGCCGGAGCTAATTGAATCAATGGCGGAGATAATTCACTCGACGAGTCAGGCCTATTGGCAAAGCTAGGATCGGTTATGATACGCTAAGTTCGACGCTTTCGAACTTCTCGGGTTGCTGAGATTGTAACGCTAATTCTCTGAGATGGTGAAGTCGAAACTTGTTTTTCTGTACACTATGTTATGATTTTCCCATGCTTATCTCATTCCATTTCCATTCCGAGCATTGCTATTGGACAAGTACCTTTCTCCGAGTAGACCTTCCCATGGACGCTATCTTCTTCTCACACGTTATCTTCCTTGACTCACCTTCTACCAATGAGCGCCCTTGTATTTCTCATTTCTCATTTCTCTGAGTTACGTTCTCACAGGATGGCTTACGCGTCCTTTCTTATT